CTGAGGCGGAGGAGAACCCCGGACGCGGTCGGCGATCCCGGACACGTTTGCGGTCTCCAGCTCCTTCCTGGCTGTGGGGACATGGGGACTCGGACTCTGCACTTCAGTCTGAGGGACCCAGGGCCGCTCCTGCCCCCTCAGTCTGTGGTGACACGGGGCCCTGAGCCCACCGCCGTGCCCCGCTGCCGATGGATGTGGGATTTTCCCAGATCAAACGCCTCCTCTGGGGTGCCAGCAGATCCTCCATGGATTCATCAGATCGCCAGCTCCGCCGCTTGATTTAATTTTAAATTTTATAACCGAGCCATGCGTTTTCCCAAGTAAACCGGGGTGATTGGGGAAATGAAAGCGTTAAAAACATTTTCGGATCATTGCAGACACTGAGGTGTGGTATCCGCTACAGCAGGAACACAAACGAGCTCAGTGTATGTAACACGAATAAATCTTTATTTGCTGCAGGGGGTGAGTCCCACACACTTCCCCCTGTGCAGAGGCAGCCCAGGTGTGTAAAACGCCAATCACTTGTTTTTAGAATTTTAAAAGTTTAATAGTAATAAAATGGTTATAAAAATAGTAACAGAGTAATAAAAATTTGGACAGTTAGGATTAGGACAATACAAGACAATAAAAACAAGGAGTTATGGACAGTCCGGGTACCTCTTTCTGGGCAAAATAAGCCCGAAAAAGGACCCACGTTAACAGAGGATTAACCCTTAAAAACAGCAGCCTATTGCATATTCATACACCTCATACATGATTCAAAACTGAAGGTGTTTCTGCTTTATATCTACTTTCCCTCTTCATCTTATAAATCAATTTTCTTGGCTCCTCGAAGTCTGAGGAGGCAATAATTCTTTTCTTGAGATCTTGGTGTCTTGTTGCTGTTTTCTCTTTGAAGAATTTCTGTACTATCTTATCCATTCCTTGAACTACTTACTAAAAGTATCTTACATCACATAGTTTCTATTTTAATATTATGCTATAGCCTAAAAACTATACTTACCACACTACTTAAAAATATTAATACAGCGTTATTAAAAATATTAATACAACATAACTTTCCAATATAACACATATAGTATTAATTTTAATGTTTGTGAAGAGCTGATCATATAATATGCATTTCTCTTAGATGGGAATTGCTGCTGCTTGGACAGGAGAGGGTGCTCCAGGAGCAGGAAAAATGCTTCAACAGCAGCCATGTTCCTCTGGAAGTGGGGAAAAAGGAAAAAAAAAAGAAAAATAAAGGATAAAAGCTTGTTTGGCGATAGCACAGAGGAACACACAAGAAGTTTTTCAAAGTTCGCTGCCTTCCATCTTTTTTTCCCCACGGATCCCTGCTAAGTGACCAACGTAGGATCACTGAGTCATAAACCCTTGGCATGCTTTGGGTTGGGAGGAACCTCAAAGCCCTCCCAGTGCCACCCCTGCCATGGCAGGGACACCTCCCGCTGTCCCTGGGTGNCTGTATAGCTAACACATGATCCAGGTGTTAACCCAAACCCACAGATGCTCAGCACATCCAGTTGTGCATACAACAAACAAGTTACCTCTATTCCCCTTGCACACAAACCTTGGAACAGCAGGATCAGGGAATCACAGAATTAAGGTTGGAAAAGGCCTTTAAGACCATCAGCCAGCACCACCACCATGCTCACCACTAAGTCATGTCCCCAGGTGCCACATCCACTTGGTTTTAAACATTTCCCAGGATGGAGACTCCAGCATTTCCCTGGCTAACCTCTTCCAGTGCCTGACAACCCTTTCCATGAAGGAATTTTTCCCAATATCCAATCTAAACCTCCCCTGATGCAACTTAACACTTCCTCTCATCCTGCCCCCCATTAGAGGTAACACACCAGACAGCTGCTGTCAGGCTGCAAAATTAACTTCGTTTAATGAAGAAAATTTTAAAGCATGAACTAGATTTAAAGTGAATATTTTGGCTACTTATTTACAAAATTGCACCTAACCTCCTGCCACTCCTCCACTCTGCTTTCAAACACTACTTACCCCCAAATTCAAAGCACACCCAAGGAATTTTACGTCATAATTTAAGCTAGAAAAAGGGAATTTAAGCCGGGAAAAGGACTCCTATCAGCAATGTTTTCTTGCCTGTAGTACTCCTGAGCCCCCTCAGAGTCACAGAAGTGGCAGAAGTAGTGGTCCCTGCGCAGGTGTTTCAGCAGCTCGTCGTTGTCCAGGTAGCGCTCGTCGCAGAACTTGCAGAGGGGGTGGCCGCGGTGCGAGGTGTCATCGGGGTCCCCGTGGATCCGGTGCCGGGCCAGGTCCTTCCTGGAGTACCATTTCCTCTCGTAGGTGAAGATCTGGAGGGCAGGGATTGTGTTAATGCATTGGTATTTAGAGATCTGCGTTCATAGATTCCTACTGTTTCCTATGGACACAGAACCAAAGAGAACAAGCCAGGCTGTGTCCAACTTCTCCATCTCTAGGGGTGGAAGATTTGCTTCAAAAAGATGCAGTTTGACCACCAACACCTAAAATTTTGTTGGACAGGAAGTAAAATTCAATTGATGATTCAAACTAAATCTAACTTGCATTTCTCTGAACACTGGGAACGAATTTAATTCACTTTTTTCCCTTTGGAATCTTTCCATGCTGTAATGAGTTTAAATTATAATCTCTGGAGTAGAAAGAGCCTAACTGTGTATTTATCAACAAGCAGTATTTTGCATTTTCAAATTTAGAAACCCCAAGGGAGCAGTTTTACCTTCCTCTCACAGTAACCACCCCAAATATCTGCACACAGAGGATCCACTTCAGTGAACAACTCCTGTATCACAAGCCAGCCCTCTGTCCCCACTGCCTTGTGAGCTGTTTTGGTAGGAAGGGTTCTGGAGGTGCCAAAAAGATCAACCCAGCCTTGAGAACAAAATATCCTTTATTTCTGGCCTAGATAAGGACTGGGAAACTGCTCTGGGAAAAGGTTGGTTTGGCTTTGCCAAGGCTGATGGACTGAAGCTTTCACAAATTTAGGAGTTTTTTTCCAGTGGGTATGAGTAAGATGGGACTTTTTTCCTTGAAATAAAAATCTCTACAGTACTCAGAAATTAAAAAGCAACAGTTTTAATATTGTTTGTGAGAGAAAATGGCAAACAAGTTCCCTCAGTGCTGAGGGAACCCTGGGCATGAAGCACCTCACCAGAGCTCAAAGGACACCAGAAACCAAAGGATGTCCTGCCCTCCTTTCCCACTTCCCTTCAATCAGCTCCAGGAATTCCAAGACCACAGGAAAGACTCAGCTCAGTTCCCAAACTTATTAGGGTTCATTTAGGTCAACCTGCTTGCTCCTGGATCCCATCCCTTTTGGCAGCAAACTCCAGTTCACCTGGCACAAACCAACTGTGGCACCACCACCGTGAGGTTTAATTTAAAACCTGGAGAACCTCCAGAGCCTCTTCATTAATCAGTTTATGGAAGAAGAAAGGCTTAGAATAAAGCAACTGGCCTCACTGCAGGAAGAGGGAACTTAAATAAATCCTTGCTGTTCTGCCTTCCCACTTCCCAGGAACTCCTGGAGGTCACAGAGGGAAACTCCCTCCTCCCCACACATCCAAGCAGAGGCCCAGCTCACCTTCAGGTGTTTAACACAGAGTTTGCAGCAGAAGAGCTCGTGCTGCTTCCTCATGTGCTGCTCCAGATCTGCAAAGGTGTTGAAGGGCTTTGCATCCGGGCACAGGGGGCATTCGTGCTGCAGCAGCTTCCTGAGGGATGAGAGAGATTCCCAAAAATGACCCAACTCCCTCCAGCACCCCCACACCTTCAGCAAAACACAAATGTTCCATCCCTGGCAGAAGGCTCCAGCTTTAAGGCTGCCCCTGCAATCTGCAGGGAGGGTTGTGACCTGCTTATTGCAAGATTTGCTTATGGCAAGAATTCTGCTGGATGGAAGGAACAGGATGGAACCAAACTACACCGAGGGTCTGACTGCTGGAGCAGAGCTGAGCAGCCATGGATGGAAGCACAGCAGGAACTCACTGCAAAACTGAGTAAACTGAAACAAACCCTTCCCCTGATGGGTCACATCCAATTCCAGTACACTTCCCACTGTCAGAAACTGAGGAATACAGTGGGGAGAGATAAATTGAAATTAAGGAATTGTATTAGGAAAGGAGGGAAAAACCCCCTCAAAACCCCACCACACAGTGGCTCCCAGGAAGAGCTGAGCACTGGTCTCACTGGGAGAACTCCTACTCCCTCATTCCCACAAATATCAAACCAAAACTGCAAATGTCCCAAAGTTACATTCTCAGCCCAAATCAGGGTGAAAATAATGCCCAATTCTCCAAGGAAAAGGTCCCACTCTTCTTTCCATTATCTCAAGCCCTCCCAATTAGGATTGTTATGAAAAATATTTGTAGAACACGATGCTAATGTCACGTTTTTATTCTGCACTGGTTTTTCACTTCACCTTTTTTCCCTCCCATTCAGAATTAAGATCTTTGTGTGAAGACATTGTTACTCTTCATGCAATACTTGGCACACCTTGGTTTGGTTAGTCCTTATTCAGCACAGCAGTAATTACAATTACAACAGTAATTAAGTCTTTATCAATTTCCACAGCAGCCACACAAGGAATGGGAAGGTTTTCAGCAGTTTTGCTGCTGTTAAAGATGCCAAAAGGGATTTTTATCGAGAGAGCAAAGCGTTGTGCTGGTGCATCCAACCCTGCAGCTCCAGGAGCTGCTGAGTGCTCAGTGCCTGCTCCAGCTGTCACCTCGCCAAGCACACCTGCACAGGTGACTCAGAGCTGCCCAAACCCAGGAGAGCAGAGCAGGGCACCCCGCCCTCCCGCAGGCACTTCCTGCCACGTCCCGTGCGCCACCACGTGCTGGGGACACCGCGGGGACATTCACCTGTACAGCGCGTACACCTCGGCATCCATGAAGTAAATGTCGTATTTCTTCTCATGCTGCAGCTGCTGCAGGGCAATGGAGGAGAAGGATGGCAGCTTCCTCCCGAACACCACCTGTGGGAACAGCACCGGGGTGGGCATTGCAGCAGGCACGGCCTCGGGGAGCTGCCCATGCCCGCAGCCCTGTGCCAGCCTCAGCTGTCACCTCCCTCGGGCACTGTCCCCAGCAGGGCCACGGCACATCTTATCAACCCGCCAGGGATTGGCACAGCGCGGCCTGTGGAGTTTGAACGGGGTTAGGAAACGCTCCCGCTGTGTTTTGCTTGCACAGCTGTTCGCAGAGTAAATATCCCGCAGCAGCACAGCCCCTGCCACAGCCAATGCCCGCCAGGAGCCGTGCCCCCGGCTCCTCCCTGGGCATCGCATGGGCACCGGGAGTTTCCAGGTGACTCAATGTCTAAGGCTGGCAGGGAATCACTGTTTCGTGTTCCCTTAGCTCCCAGGAAAGCGAGGAGCTAAACACAGAGCGCCTCCCGAATCACCTGTACCGCACACCCCTCTCAGGGCATCTCCTTGCTCCCGGCTCCCCCTGGGCTCGGAGCGCTGCAGCTCCCACCTCCAGCACACACTGCCAGCCCGGGAATTGCTGCTGGAGTCACCAGCCCCAGCCCAGACAGGCTGAGACACAAATACAGCAAGGAATTTCAGTTCTTACAGTAAAAGCTACATCAGAAATCTAGAAGTAGATTCCCAGAGAAACTGTGGCTGTCCCTGGATCCCTGGCAGTGCCCAAGGCCAGGCTGGACAGGGCTTGGAGCATCCTGGGACGGTGAGAGGTGTCCCTGCCATGGCACTGGATTGGCTTTAGGTCCCTTGCATTCCAAACCATTCCAGGATTTTACGATTCCATGATCCCCCCTAAGATCTGCAGCCTCCTGGAGCAGGGAGCAAAGGCTCCATCCTGTGCTGCCAGGGCGAGCCCTGCTGACTTCACACCATAAACATTCGCTCTAACTCCATTTTCTCCACGTTTTGTTTCCCACTGGCCCAGGCGGCGGCGGCACCCCCGGGAGCG